TTTTTTTTTTTTTTTTTTTTTTTTTTTTTTGCTATTCAGCTTGGTTTCTTTCCATTACTCTGTCTTTTAGCTCACAGATACATTCTTCTGTCTCCTCTCATTTGCTATGGATTCCCTCTAGTGTATTTTTAATTTTAGTTATGAAGTTATTCATCTGATTGGTTCTTTTTTATATTTTCTATCTCTTTGTTATATGTTCATTGAGATTCTTCACTCTTTTGTCTAGTCCAATGAGTATCTTTATGACCATTACTTTGAATTCTTTATCAAGCATATTGCTCATCTCTGTTTCGTCTAGTTCTTTTGCCTTAGTTTTGTCCCATTCTCTCATCTGGGACATATTCCTCTGTTTCCTCATTTTGTCCATCTTTTTGTGCTTGTTTCTATGTATTAGAAAAGTAAGCTAAGTCTTTGATCTTGAAAAGGGGTGGCCTTATGAAGAAGAGGTCCTGTGGGGTCCTGTAGCATCATGTCCACTGTTCACCAGAACCAGGAGCTTCAGGGGTGTCTCCTAGTGGGTTGTGTGCACCCTAGTGTTGTGGCTGTGTTTGCCTGCAGTCATGGGCATACCAGGCAGGATTTGGTCCCTGTGCTGTTAAGGAAAGAGTCTGGGGCCACTACAGGGCTGTAATTCAGCCTCTCTGCCTGGGCTGCCATCATACCAAATTGCAGGGTGCTCTCGCTCTGTTGTCCTCTGAGAGGCTTTCAGTGGTAGGTGGGGCCTATAATCAAACCATATGCCTGCCCCCATCCTTCTATTAGGGCTGCAGTAGCATTGATCTTCAGGGTACTCTTCCTGCCTTTTCCTGAGAGGTTTTTATTGGTGGGCAGGGCCAACAGTCAGACCAGATGCCTGCCCAGTCTGTCTGACATTGCTGCAGTTGCACTGCTATGTGTGGTTATCTTCTCCTCTCCCCAGGACAGTAGTCACTTTGGAGTGGTTCAGGTCCCCGTGAGGGCGGCTTACAGGGTGTCTCTTGGCAGGAGCTGCTTTGAAAGGATGCTTGCTAAGTGGGGTGGATATCCAGAATGCAGGATATAGTGTATGTTGTGTTGGCAAGATAGGTAGACAGTGTTCCTGCTGGTTCCTGCAACTGAATGGGCTATCTAGACTGGGGGCTGGGGTAGGGAGAAATGGTAACCAACAGCTCTTCTGTTCTTAGAGAAATCTCCTAAAGATCCCTGCCTCTCCTGCACACATTCTGAGATTAGTAAATAAATGTACTTCATGTATATCCCAGGCACTTTTTTGAAGTGGTGCTTCTATGCTATATCTTGGTGGGTTTTTTTTTTGTTATGCTGGCTCTTTAAGGCCAAGGATTTCATTTCTTATTGCCCTGAGGGCCTCCCACAGCTAAGCCAGCTGAGTTTTAAAGAACCTGGCATTAAGTCCCAATGATTGTCAAAACTCACAAAGTTAAGCCCCATGGTTTTCAAAGCCTAATATTATGGGGACCTGTCTTTCCAGTGTAGTTCTCCCTTGCCTGGGGTGCTTGGTGTGGGGTCTGCTCCTCCCCTTTTCCCTGCTTGTGGTGTTCCTTCTGTTCATGGTTAGTCTCAGTAGGATTTTGGTTCCAGACTGCATCTGCCCCTCCTACCATTTTCAACATGCCGTCCCTGTGCAAAGTCTGTTCTGCCAGTCTTCTAGGTATTTTCTGTGTTAGTTGCACTCATGTGGCTATCTATGTGTGTCTGTGGGACCAGGTAAGCTCAGGACCCTCCTACTCTGCCAACTTCTCAAAAGTCTCCCACATACTAAACTTTAAAGTTAAATCTTTTACCTGGTCCAAGACAATGATTTCATCTGCATCAACCACTGTTGACAATCTGTGTGCAATGAAAATAGAAGTTCTGTGTTTGACTGCATCCCTCATGGCACCAAGAATAGTCTGCAAGTTTGACAACAAGAGTAAGAAAAAAATCTATTAGGTAAATGTAAATTAAAATAATCATACATATCTTAAAGGAACATATACAATGCCAATTCTGTATTATATAAACTTTATACCACTACCAAATATTTTCCCTAATGTAAATAATTACTAAGAAGAGGAGAAATTGAGCAACACAAAAAGGCAAATATAACCACATTATTGTGGAAAAATTATCTTTGAGATAGGCAACATTTCTTAAAATTACAAAGACTGGAAGAAGGTGGATATTTCTATACATAAAAACAAACGTAATAATGATGAATACAGTGATATCAGGAACATGTTGGTTATATTTATCTAGCCTATGAGAACAAAAATAAAATGAGGTAGGAATCAAGTAACAGGATACAGAAAATTACAAAACAATCAATAGAAAGATAGGAGACTCAAAGGGTACAGAAGCATTTGCTTTTCATTATTTCAAACTTAGAGGACGGAAAGGGCAACAAAGACAACTGTGTATGTTTAACTTGAGCAAACTTCCCTTTCAAAAGTATTCTGACTTCTTTATGTACCATTGATCGATGGACACTTGGGCTGCTTCCACATCTTGGCTATTGTAGATAATGCTGTTATAAGCACAGGGGTGCATGTATCACTTCAATTAGTGTTTTTGTAATTTGGGGGTAATTACCCAGTAGCACAATTACTGGACCAGTAGCACAATTACTGGATCATAGAGTAATTCTATTTTTAACTTTGAGGAACCTCCATACTGTTTTCCAGAGTGGCTGCATCAGTTTGCATTCTGATCAACAGGGCACCTTTGTTCCTTTTTTTCCACATCCTCACCAACACTTGTTATTTCTTGTGGTTTTGATTTTATCCATTCTGACTGGTGTGAGGTGATATCTCATTGTAGTTCTGATTTGCAATTCCTTGATGATGAGTGATGTTGAGCATCTTTTCATGTGTCTGTCTGCTATCTGGATGTATTCTTTGGAGAAATGTCTGTTTATGTCTTCTGCCCATTTTTATAAATTAAAAAAAATTATTTAAATATACAATGGAAAAAAATTCAGCCATAAAAAAATGAAATCCTGACATTTGCAATGACATGCATGGAGCTACAAAGTATAATGCTAAGTGAAATATGCCAGTCAGAAAAAAGACAAATACCATATGATTTTACTCATAAGAGAAATTTAAGAAACAAAACAAGCAAAGGAAAAAAGACAGAATGAGACAGAGACAAATCAAGAAGCAGACTCTTAACTATAGAAAAGAAACTGATGCTTATCAGAGGGGAGGTGGTTGGGAGGATGGATGAAATTGGTAATGGAAATTAAGGAGTGCAACTGTTGTGACAAGTATTGAATGATGTATCAAATTGTTGAATCACTAAATTGTACACCTGAAATTAATATAACACTCTATGTTAACTATACTGAAACTAAAAATTTAAAAAGAACAAAAACCCTTATGTCATGATGAACTGAAAAAAAAAAGTGGCAAGAGGATGGAAATGGTTACACAGCAAAGTTGTCACTTCAGAAAACAATGAAATAAAGCTGAGAATGAAATGTCTAGCTCCATTTCCCCTTGCCACAGAAGCAAGGACAGCTTCTTCCCAACACCTCTGGCCTTTTTTGATCACAAGCATTCTATAGAAGGCACGTTGAAATGGCGAGGGGCTACCTTTGTCAAAAGAATTATGAAAAGCAAGTTTTTAGAATCCATTTTCCCCAAAATATCCAAGATTCAGAAGAAATGGGCCAAACTGCCCAGTTATAAACAGAGGGAATGACTCTGAGACACTGGCCCTGAATAGTCAACAGGGAGAGCCTAACTGAATAAAGAGCAAAAGGAAGGAAATAGGGAAAAAAGGTATTCTGACTTCTTAATGAATTCTGGAAAACATTTTTTATTACAGTATAATTAACAGTGTTTTATTAATTTCAGGTATATGATATAATGATTCAATAGTTTTTTTTTTTTTTTTTTTTGAGAGAGAGAGAGAGCACAAACAGGGGAGACAGGCAGAAGGAGAGAGAGAGAGTGTGAGTCTTAAGCAGGCTCCATGTTCAGCACAGAGCCCGATGCAGGGCTCGATCCCACAGCCCTGATAATGACCTGAGCTGAAATCAAGAGTTGGATGCCCAACCAACTGAGCCACCCAGGCAACCCTGATTCAATAATTGTATGCACTATTCAGTGCTCATTATGAGTTAATCCCCTTTATCTATTTCACCCATCCTCCCACCAACCTCCCCTCTGGCAAGCACCAATTTGTTCTCTGTATTTAAGAATCCATTTGCAAAACATTTTTGCTTACTGCCTTTAAAGTATAAGGGAGTTGTATATATATTCAGTTATACTTGGAAATCTGGTTCTAAGTATACCTAGCAGGATGGAAATAGCAGTGTGGGGCTGGGCATATATCCAATGGCTCCCTAAAGATATTTCTAAACATTGTATTTACTAAAGGAATAAAATGACCAAGAGTAGATGGTTACCCAGGAGGGAAGACCTTATATTTTACTAGGGCAGATTAAAAATTACGTGCAGGGCCAACTCTAAGAAAAATTGTGATGTCTGTGGGGACTCATTGTCCTTATTCTCAAGAACTTAAGGTCTGACATCCTACTAAGTGCTCTGGACCTTTTAAAAAAGGCCCATTAAAATTTACCAAATCTTCTAGTAACTCATTCCCTTGGTGGGGAATTGTCTACTAGCTCTTATTGGGTTATACTCTGGAAGATAATAAAGCTACATGACTGTTAGGAATTATAATTTGTGGTAAATGTGAATGATACACTTTTAGGTATACAGTTCTTGTAAGCAGATTCCTATTTTGCCTATGAATGGGTGTGGTACTGCTTAAGGTTCCCTTTAAATATAACAAATCCTCATGCTAAACAAGCCACTTAGATATTAAACTATTTTAAACATATGGCAGATCAAGTAATATGCCCTGAAACTTAACTACACATGCAAATATTATGCTATACATGCTGTAAAGCTGAAATTAGGCATATGCTTCAACACTAGGTTTTTACCACATATTTGAGTAAAATGTAGGTGAATGGACGTAACAGATAACATATGCCTATTTTCAGTTCTAGAGTAAGGGGATCCATTCATGAAATTGCCATTATTATTAAGACTTTTATATTTAATGCAAAGATGTTGTTATGAAGTATAATGTAGTTGCTGGGTAGTACCATGACATCAAGTGTCACAATATCTTGTGACTGCAAAACATCTTGGTGCTGCAAAACCTTTTTTGTGAAATGAATATAAATTTATACTACCACCACAGGCTGTGTGTGCCTGACTTGTACTACCAGTGAGTTGCTCCACAATAAGTGAAAGGCTTTCTGGTGTATACTGTCACAATAATTTACACGACCTGTTTTCATGAGTGTTAAGTGGCAATGGCAGAATGACTAAAATGTTTTTCCTTTGCAGCAGAGTAGGCAAGTCTTACAAGCTTTTCAAGAGGCAAGGATGATACAACAGTCACACGGTTCTAAAAGGAGACACTTTTGCAAATGGACTTAGCAATGTGATAGTTCAATGCAACTTAGCATTCTTGATAGTTATCAATACTTGCTATATAGGGGAAAAGGGCCAGGTATTTTGCTCTATACTACCTCCTACTGAAGTTCATTCAGAATACAAAAGAATGTAGCCATTTTACTGAAACTTCCAAGGAGAAAAGTTAAGCATTGAGAATTGAAGAGCATGGCATTTTCATCATCATTTACCTCTTCAGTAATCGAATCTAATGATGAAGTGGCTTCATCATAGAGAATGACTGGGGGGTCCTTCAAAATGGCTCTTGCAATTGCTACTCTTTGCTTTTCTCCTCCTGGTAAAGAAAAATTTAGTTTAAGGATATATAACATAACGACATTTTATGTTTCTAGTATTTCCACTGGTCATAACCACCAAGTAATGCCTTTAACATTTACCTCTACTCTGACCACTGTTCATTTTACTCAGTTTTAAGAGTCTAAGTTCATATATGATATCCTTTGATAAACTATACACTCTGCTCTGGAACATAAATATAATTCTGGATTCTGACTTTGTGGCAGGTAAAGAGAAAAAGAAGTAACAGCTTTGATTCCACAATTATTCCTCTCACTGTAAATATGCTCATTACATATGTTACTTTATATTACTTCCCAATTGACAGCATCTCAGAACAATTTCAATATTAGAGAACTAACAAAGACAAAACTAAATTCAATATCTGAAACCTGGAATCTTGGAAAACAAGAAACTGAATATCTAAATGTATTTCTTGGGGTGCCTGGGTGGCTCAGTCGCTTAAAGTGTCTGACTCTTGATTTTGGCTCAGGTCATGATCTCATGGTTCGTGAATTTGAGTCCCACATCAGGCTCTGCGCCGAGAGTGCAGAAACTGCTTGCCCTTCTCTCTCTCTCTCTGCCTCTCCCTTGTACCTTCTCTCTCTCTCTCTC